GGCGGGCGGAAAGGGAGGCCGGAAGCCTTGGGGGGACTGGCTCTTGAACGTTTAGGATTTGAATACGCAGCAGCGTGATGCGGGCGGACAGCTGGAGCTTACGCCCGGAACGCGGCTTTGAGGATACGAGCAAGGACACCTGGCAGGTGCTAAAGCCGAGCCCAGCTGTCGTGCAGGTGGACGTGAGCAGTCGCCTGACTCTCCGGACAGCCGAAGAGGGCGCAGGAGGTTGCCCTTGCGTTCTTCCTGTGGCCGCTAGAGGGGACCCTCCGGGCTGGGTACTCGGGTCTCTTCTACGCTTCAAGCAAGCTTGGCGGCGCAGCCGGTATCCGGGAGCTGTCCCGCCCACCCCTTCTTCGTAGCCACTCGCCTGCGCGAAATACCCGCCGGCCTCTGACTGGCAGGCAGGCTGGCAAATCAAATCGCGGGCTTGGAAAGCAAAACACTGCAGCACCCTCGCCGCTCAGAGTTGGGAAGGAATTAAGGAGGCTGTGCCTCCGGGTCCTGGTCGTTTGTCAGAGACCTTGGGCAGGTGCGCCTTAAAGGAACGTCGCGGTGAGTAGAGGTTAAGTCGGGGGGAGAGGGAGCTTATATTTAGCCTTAGTTTTTTCAGGAAAAGCGAATGCGTTTGGAATCAGCTAATGCATTCGAGTACAAACACCCTCCCTTCTTGCTGTCACCAGCCTTGCCGGTTCGGGTCCCGTTGCCTCCAGGATGTTCATTTCATTTTTGCGTCGAGAGTGAGAGGCCTGAGCTTGCGTTAGCAAAGGCGATGCCAGCGTTTACCTAATCAGGAAGTGGAATGGAGTAACTTTGCCAACATTTCTCCTCTCCGTGCTGGCTCGGGCCTCCTGGCAACAGCAGATGGTGGCGTTAGCAGGTGGAATGAGGGGAGGTGTTCTTCATCTGTGCTGGCTGCAGGAACAGCGGAGCTTCTGGTTTCCAACTCAATAGGAGGGGACTGGAAGTGTAACCCTTTAGAGAGTCAAACCCCGGGAAAGGGAAAGCCCTCACCAACCCTCACCAGGGAGAAACTGAATCGTCAGGTGGTGGGAAAGCATGTTTTATTTGTTTGCTTAGATAAAGCCAGTCCTAATGCCCACGCTCCTAGCTCTTAGCGCCAGGAGCCAGGGTTCTTTGAGCTGCAAAACCTGTTCCTGGTCCTGGTGAAATAATTGGGTGAGATAAGGATGGCCGCTGGGAGTGGAAGCCAGCATCACGAGGATTGTCTTCCCTTTCTTGGGTCAGTGACCTGTGTGCTGTAAGGGTGGGGTGCCTGGCAGCTTGCCCCTAGGCTGATGTTAGTCCTGGAAAAGCCTTGAGACCAGGAAAAGAGTTACCAAACAATGCATACCCTTTAAGGGAGTGAGTACCAGCTCCTCCGAGGCTTCCGTCCACTTCCCACCCCAGCCTCTTATCTTTGCAGCCTCCTTGGGGCCTCGCTTCCTGAAACAGACTGGGAAGCTGCTTAGTAGATGCAGATTAAACCACAGCAATGCCAACTGCCCCAAACAGAAGCAAAACCAGAAAACCACCTGGACAAACCAGCTGGGCTAAAAGCGGTTAGGAAGCCCGGATTCCCGGCGCCCCTTGGGTGTCCCCGAGGCCTGTTTGCTGTTTCCGGCGTGCTCTGGGTGGGGCTGTGTTTGGTGTACCTCTGGAGTTGTAGTTGATGAGGCCTGAGTAAGGCATTCTTCTTGAGTGTACCAGTCACTCTGTGTGGAGGTCAACGTGCCAGCCTCTGGGCCAGATCCCAGGAGGAGGCAACTGAAGCGAGGATTTGGCAAACACCTTCCTGGAGTCCGCTCCAGGGGATGCCTCCCAGGGCCTGGCGGGGTCGAGAGAACCCTGGTTCATTCTTCCTTTCCAAGACTCTCACTGTATTAAAAATGTCAAAGCAGTTATATGAAACTTGAACGAGATAGATGTGAAAAATGAACGATTACGCCTGTTAGCTGTCAAGAAGATTGCAAGCATGTGTGCCCAGGACTTGCCGGCGGGGAAGTCTGGGGTGGGACGTGAGAGTACATCTCAGGTGCTGGTACTGCCTGCTCTGAGGACGAAAGCAGGCCCCTCGACCAAGTGAGACCCGAGCCAGATGGTCCCTGTGGCCGGCCCGTGCCGCTCTCACACTTGGCGTCTCCGCGGGGAGCACACGGCAGTTGTCCCATGACATGTGCATCTGGTCGTCACACCAGGAACCAGAATTCCTGGGCCTAGAACCCAAGGCAGAGGGACAGGAAAGGCAACTTTCCGAAGCCTCAGGGTGGAGCAGAGACTGTTTACCTGTGCGAGCCTTCAGTGCCTGCTTGTGGATAAATGTAGGAGAGGCGGGATCCACGGATCGGTTAAGGAATCCACGGATCAGTTAAGAAACCAAACTGGTGAGAATAAAGTTAATGCCAGTAAGAGCTGACGGGTCATCACCGTTTCCTGTGTGTGCGTTTTACAGGTATTATTATTATTTAGAGATTTTTCTGCTTGACAGAGAGACAGAGAGCAAGCAATTTCCCGTGGGGGGGGGATGGCCATGCCACAGTCCGCGCTCCCCCACTGTTGGGATCTGGGGCACACACCCACACACACCTGCTGTGAGTTTTAAGCCGCTTGGTCCAGGATTCAAACCACAGTTGACTACGCGGGATCCACCCGCTGGTCCCTCCATGCATTATTTCGTCAAATTCTCACAGTAGCCCGGTGGGGTAGGAACACCGCCATCTGTGTTTGACAGCTGAGGAACTGAAAAGCGAAGTGGCTTGGCCAAGGTAAAACAGCACATGAGCAAAGCAACTTGACACTTTGTCATATTAAATGTAGACTATGCAGTAGAAGGTAAATCTATATAATTTTCCAATTAATTCTTTTTTTTGCTATAGGGCGCGTGCGCTCGCCAGACAGAGAGAGACATAGAGACAGAAAGCGAGAAATCACCCCCCAGGGGGGATGGTCACGCCGCAATCCCTTCTCCTCCATTCTCCTCTCTCGGGATCTTGGGCACGCACGCACACGCGCCCTGCGTGATATTTAAGCCACCGGGTCCAGGACGCGAACCACGGTCAACTACGTGGGAGTCCAGTGACATAGCCATTACGCTAACTGCTGGTTCCCTCCAATTAATTCTTTAAAAAATCAGAAACCCTTAGCCCTTGTGGTAGGATTTGAGCCGCGTCATCCCAGAACACTCAGGGCATTGTCTCTCTCTGTTTAGTGGGAAAGTTTGAGAAGCACTGGAAGCGTCGGTCCGGTGAAATAAATGAGGTCGTCGTCATTGCTGGTTTTATTTGAGACCACATTATTACCCCATTTTACAGATGAGGCGCCCAGGTCTCCAAAAGGCGAGATGATCTGGGCTCGCAGGTCTCCCGGCCTCCGGCCCGGTGCCACCTCACCTGTGCCAGGCTGGCCCTCAGGAAGGCTGGTTGCTCCAGCTTCCAGGGAGAGAGCTTTTCTTCCCATGTTTTCCTCTGAGGGGATCCCAGGTGGGTCCTTTGTACGGTTGGGGAGGTTTTTGGAGGCCTGGAGAAGTGGACACAGGCAGTGTTGTACTCCGTGTGCTCAGGAGCGGATGGAAAAGAGGAGGGTTTAAATTAGGGGCTGATGGGAGGAAGGAAGAGGAGGAGAGTGGAGGGAGTGCCTCAGGGCCGAGGAGAAAGCTTTGGTACGGAGTCATGTCTTTATTGAAGGGCTCGAAGGCATGATGCAATTTGTTTTCAAAGTTTACCCGTTTCTGTCTTCCATGGGCGAGAAAGACACAGAGGCGGGCACCCTCAATAGAGTTTCTGTCTTCCATGGGCGAGAAAGACACAGAAGCGGGCACCCTCAACAGAGTTTTTTTTTTTTTTAAGAATTATTTATGTAATTTGATTTGTTGTTATTATTTTAATTTTTGCTATAGGGCACATGCACTTACCAGAGAGAGAGGGAGGGAGAAAGCAAGCTTCCAGGTCCAGGACTCAAGCCTCAGTCAGCCATGTGGGAGTCCAGCGCCTTAACCACCACGCCACCTGCCGGCCCCCTCAATGGGGTCTTATCACCGTGATCCACCCACAGCCTCAGCCTGCCCAGATTCGGGCATCTGTGGGCCTGTCATGTTCAGAGAGGTCTCTGGGCCCAAACCGGGAACCCTCCCATGTGGCAGCCTCCCAGAGCATTGTGTTGCCACTGTGCCACTTCCCAGGGTTCCACGGAGGGGCCAGTTGTGTTTTGTCCTAAGGGCACACTCTTCTTGGGTAGCAGCTGGAGTCCGTGTCTCATCCTACATGCATTTTTAATGTTTCTCTCCACCACCCAGAACACCGCGAGAATCTGAAAACGCACGTCTGTCGGGCTGCTTGGGCGAGACACAGAAATCGGCGCCTCTTGGAGGGAAGCTCAGGAGAGCCTGAACGCCAGCCAGGAGAGCCCGAACGTGCTCTTTGGCATGAGGGAGAGATGGCTGCTAGAACGCTGTGAGCACCGCCAGGAACCATGGCTTCCGGCTTGGGCCCCGCCTAGCAGCCCCAGCTACCCTGCCAGGCCCAGCGAGATGTGCCCCTAGACCAGCATGGACGGAGCCCGGGGCGCGGCCCTGCAGCTGCAGCAGCTCCCACCCACCAGCAGCGGCCCCTCCATGAGCGAGGGCTCCTTCTCCTACAAGGCAAGGACTGGTTTTGGTTTTGCGTGGGTATGTCTCACCGCACAGCACTGGCTAACAGCCACACCCAGGGGCTGCACGCCTGCTGTGGCAATACGGGCAGACCTGGGGCCAGCATGGGGCATGGTGGGTAAAGCACTGGACTCCCAAATGGCCGAATGGGGTTCAAGTCCCAGACCTGGCAGTTTGAAAATCATACCAGGCAAGCGTGCATGCGTGCCCAATCCAGAGCAGGAGTGGAGGAGCATCCCCCTAGAAGGTGATTTCTCACTTCCCTCTCTCTGGTGAGTGCACATACCCTATGGCAAAGACCTTAAAACAAAAACAGGCCCTCCACACATAACAGGGATATGTAATGAGGTAGAAGAAATATTCATTAAATACATTTTAAAAAATACATAAAAATAGGGAGGTAAAGAAACAAGAAATCTCCATGTGCTCGCGAGAGAGACAGAGACAGAAAGCAAGAAATCACCCTCCCTGGGGGATGACCATGCTACCGTCCATTCTCTTTTCAGGATTTTGGGTGTGCACGCATGCACACTCACACACACACACACACACATACACACCAGTGTGGATTTTAAGCCACCGGGCCCACGACTCGAACCATGGTCTACCATGCAGGAATCTACTCTTTCACCTGCTGGTCCTAACAAACATCTTTCTCCTTTAAATTGCCAGAGGATCCATTCACTGGCCAGAGAGAGCAAGAGAGAGAGAAGAGAAAGAGACAGAAAGCGAGAAATCACCCCTCAGGGGGATGGCCACGCCGCAATCCCTTCTCCTCCATTCTCCTCTCGAGATCTGGGGCACGCATGCAGATGTGCCCAGCGTGAATTTAAGCCACCGGGTCCAGGACTTGAACCGCGGTTGACCACAGGGGAGTCCAGCGACATAGCCATTACGCTAACTGCTGGTCCCAGATACCCAGCTGTCAGGTCCAGGACTTAAACGCTCCAGCTAACCATGTGAGATCCAGCTTCCTTAACCCCATGCCACAGCCTGGTCCCTTTGTGTGTTTTTCTACTATGACAAATTTGGGGTCACGTTGTCCATAAAGTTTTGTATCTTTTGTTTCACCTAACCTCTCCGGAGGACTATCTCCGCCGGCATAGGGTCGTGACAAAGGCATGTTTTCTCCTGACTGCCCGCTAATGTGGTGAGTTGCCGTGTCGACTGTGCTCAGTAGGTCTCCGAACGCGGGGTGTTCAGCTCATTCCTGATCTGGAGTGACTGTAAGCAGTGAGCACCCCAGAGTATAAATCTCTGTCCTTCCTTCCTTCCTTCCTTCCTTCCTTCCTTCCTGTCAGAGGTTGTACTGTCTTTGCTTGCCGAAGATAGACAGGGAGAGGAAGAAACCCTCCGGCAGACGTGGTCTGCCACAACCCCTTCTCCTCCGTTTCTCCATCCTGTGGGATTTGGAGCACACACACACACACCTGGCTTGTTTTTTTGTTTTGTTTTGTTTTAGAGAGGTTTTTGCTATAGGGCATATGTGCTCAGAGAGACAGAAAGTCAAAAATCCCCCTCCAGGGGGGATGGCCACGCCGCAATCCCTTCTCCTCCATTCTCCTCTCGGGATCTTGGGCACGCATGCACACGCGCCCGGCGTGAGTTTAAGCCACCGGGTCCGGGACGCGAACCACAGTCGACTACATGGGAGTCCAGCGACATAGCCATTACACCAACTGCTGGTCCCAACCTGGCATGTTTCTGAAGCCACTGGGGCCAGGACTTGAACGTGGTCAGCCACATGGGCTCTGGCTCTCTTTAACCACTAGGCCAGGGGGCCAGCCATGTTCATGCTGGTTTCTGATTATTTCCTCGGATCCACCCATGTCGGTACAATGGATAGACCAAAGGGTATTATTTGTCAGTTATAAATTATACTTTTTTTTTTGAGAGGTTTTCGCTATAGGGCGCGTGCGCTCGCCAGACAGACAGAGACATAGAGACAGAAGGCAAGAAATCCCCCCCCAGAGGGGATGGCCACACCACAATCTGTTCTCCTCCACTCTCCTCCCGGGATCTTGGGCACGCATGCACACGCGCCCGGCGTGAGTTTAAGCCACCGGGTCCGGGACGCGAACCACAGTCGACTACATGGGAGTCCAGCGACATAGCCATTACGCTAACTGCTGGTTCCCTAAATTATACTTTTTTAAAGTGATTTTTGATGCCAGATTTACATGTTTCTAAACACCAGTGCAGCATCTGATGACTTGGATTGATTTAAGGTCAGGTTTTTCTGGATCAGTCCAAGACTGATGACCCCCTGGAGCTGAAGGAGGCCTTAGAGATCGCCTCCTCAAACCCTCCGACTTATGGCTTGGGGAAGTGAGGCGAGAGATGAGGACCGACGTAGTTAGTGGTTCAGAGGAGCGCAGAATGTGCAAAACAACATGACTAATGCTCGCGCTTTCAGCCTACCCCAGGCTCTGTGCCAAGTCCTTCGCGTGCCTTTTCTCAGGTAACCGTCACCACAGCCTGGAAAGAGCCCTGTAGTGGGGACAGTCCTCCCGTCTGTAAAGCGGGTATGAGAACAGTATCGGCCTGCCAGCCGATGAGGATTAAGGAAATGTGCCGGCGTGGAGCACTCAGAGCAGGACCCGTACGGCCGCCGTTTACCAGTGTTTACCGGTGCTATTACCATCTTAAAGCCACTCCAGAGACAAGGAAACGGAGTTATGTAGCTGGCTCCCTTAGCGAGTTGTGCAATCAGAATTCACACCCGGGGACCAGCAGGTGGTTAAGGCGCTGGATTCCCATACTGGCCACCGTGGTTTGGGTCCCGGACCTGGTGGCTTGAAACTCACACCGGGTACACTGTGTGCGTGCCTAAGAAGGAGAATGGAGGAGAAGGGATTGTGGTGTGTCTATTTCCCCTGTGGGGTTGATCTCACTTTCCCTCTCATTGTCCCTCTCTAGTGAGTGCATGAACCCTATGGTTAAAACCTTTAAAAATAAATAAATAAAGAGAGAGAGAAAGGAAAAAAAAAAAGAATCCACATCCAAGTTGGACTGACTGCAGAGGCTGTGTGTCTAACCACTGCACCACACTGCCTCCCTGCTGTGGGTCTTCATCCAGGGCTTTCTCTGCTACCCCACGCCCACGTATGCCAAAGAGGGAGCCAGGCCAGAGAGGAGCAAATGGGGACACTCGGGGTGATGAAAGGCTTTTATCGTTTTGATCCCACCCGACCAAGCAGTTTACGCATGCAGGGAAATGATGACCGTTGTCTGGAACTGGACTCATTTAGAGCAAAGGCGCGCCCCAGTGCTCACGGCGGACTCCATGCTGAGGGGCACCTGGCAGTTCACGTGCCAGGTCAGCGAGGGTCGGAGCCCAGGTGACCCGCCTTTCTCGGCACTGCCATCCCGCTCCCTGGTCGTCTTCCTTGGAGGCCTGCGCTTTCCCTCTGTGGCTGCTGTGTTATTCTAGGGTGGGATGGGAAGAGTGTGAGACTGAAACTGGGAGACCTGGGGCCAGCAGCTGGCACGGTGGTTAGGCACTGGACTTCCACATGGCTGACTGTGGTTTGAGTCCCAGACCCGGCGACTTGAAAATCACACTGGGCGTGTGTGTGTGAGTGCCCGAAATCCCAGGAGAAGGGGTTGCAGCATGGCCGTTCCCCCGGAAGGTGATTTATCACTTTCCCCTCTTAGTGCCTCTTTCCCCTCTGATGAGCACATATCCCTGTGACAGAAACCTACACAATCAACATGAGGCAATCCAGGTTCTTGACCCCACTCTCACCCTGGGCTGTGTGGTCTCAGGCAGGTCTCTTCCCTCCTCTGTCTCCATCAAATGAAGAGGTGGAATTCATGGATTTTCCCTAACCCTGGCTGAGCCTGGAAATACCTGGGGGTGGCTCTCAAGTATGCAGCTCTCTAGGCCCTGGGCTCCCCTCTCTGCCTTCCTCCTGTACTAGATGTGGGTATTCTAGACCAGACGACCTACGAAGCTCCACCCTGAGCCCTCCCCTCCCACCCCAGCTCCATCCTCAAGCATGAGGATCTCAGGGCTCCACCTGAGTCATCACCGATACTCAACGCAAGCGAGGCATCACCACCATTGCCTGGTAGGCGCCCATGTGCTTCCGAACGCACCGTTCAACACCCAGCGGGGTTTCCAGGCCAAGAGTTGTCCTTCACCTTTTTATTGAAACATAGCATACTTACAGGCAGGTAGGCGAGTCACCAGCAGCAGACGTTGCATTTTAACTGAGCGAGCACCCGTGTGGAACCAGCACCCAGACTGAAAAACAGAACACTGCTCGTCCCCAAAGTCTCATGTCCCCTCCCGGCCGCTTCCACCCTCCTGACAAGCCAGAAAACAGGTTGACAATGACACAGTCTTGTCTTTGAAGGAACTGCTAAGTGACTAGGTTGACTGAGCATCCCTATTCTGAAATCCCAAATGCTCCCAAATCCAAAACTTTTCAATGTTGGTGCCACACATGGAAAATGCTGCCCCTGGTATCCTGGGACAGGTCGCCAGTAAAACCCTGACTACAAAACTGTTGTGTGGATTTCCCGCAGGCCATGCGTGTAAGTTTTATATGAAGCATAAGTGAGTTGTGTGTTTATACTTGGGTCCCGTCTGTTGAATATTTTATAACTTGCATGTAAATATTCCAAAACTTGAAAAAATCCAAAATGCAAAATACTTCTAGTCCCAAGCATTTTAAAGAAAGGATTATTTAGGGACCAGCAGTTAGCGTAATGGCTATGTCGCTGGACTCCCATGTAGTCGACGGCGGTTCGCATCCCGGACCCGGTGGCTTAAAACTCACACCAGGCGTGTGTGCGTGCACGCCCAAGATCCCAAGAGGAGAATGGAGGAGAAGGGATTGCGGTGTGACCATCCCCCCTGGGGGGTGATTTCTCGCTTTCTGTTTCTACGTTTCTCTCTGTCTGTCTGGCGAGCACACGCGCCCTATAGTGAAAACCTCTCCAAAAAAAAAAGAATGAAAACTGAGAGGCTGAGAGAAAAGGGG